CAGATGGCTCAAAAACACATGTGGGCATTAGAGCCGGCATCTTTGGTTCCCATGGTCAAACTGCCTAGAATATTTTAATCGATGGTTCACGCCATAATCCTGTGAGCAGGGATTAATCTTCAGTGAAAATATTGCAGCGAAAACGTCCAAATACTAAGCGATAGTCGGGATGCACTCATTACTCTTCATTCTTATGAAATCAAGTCTGCACGGGTTCTGAAGTACGTAGGGAGAAAAAATGTCTTCCTTTCCTGGGTGCCGGGCCACAAAAGCATATAGGGAAATGAAGAGGCAGACAGGCTTGCTAGGGAAGCCGCAGTAACAACACCAATAGGCTCGATTGCTTCTTTGCAATAGAATCACACACTATAAAAAGAACTGCAGTGGAACTAAGTCTCTGGGCAGCGTGAAACCAACAAGCTATTGGGGGTATACAATAGGAAAAGACATGATAAGCTCATTAACCTACCAAAAGCTAAGAATTTTAAAAATTACTGATTAAGGAGTCACCTATAAAAACTTGGGACTCGGTCCACCGATTCATGCCGTTTTTGTGGTAGAGAAGCTGAATTTTCTGGGCACATACCCCAGAAATGCGATTCAGTTGCAAGGAGACGAGAGAATTATCTCGAGTCACTAAATCGACAGCCGAAACACATGCACTCGATGTTGCCAAACAATCTACTTGATTTCCTAAGGGAGCTGGGATTGACAGAGGTGCTGTAAGGGGCAAGAGGGCACGAAATATCTCCTGGTGGCAGGCAATTTCTCAAGTAAACATCTAAAATAATTTGTTGGATTTGCTTAGAATTTTGATATATGGTCGGATTTATTATTTAACGTAAGAAGCTATTGGCGATCTAATGTGAAAACTGCCTTTACATATATGTGGGATCTGATTCAGAATGATGCGCTTAAAAGCTGACGAAGTGAACGAACTGCCGGAGAGGACGATGGATATTGTAAGCACCTAAGGGCGTTTTCCCTTTTTTGAGGCGGAAGCGACTACCTTAAAAGAGTTCGATACTCAGCATTAATTTCAAGAGAGGCCAAGAGTTCAGTTAAAATATCAAATAAGATACGTAATTTTAGTTTCGTGAAATAGCACAATAGAGGATGGTTCCGTGCGCAGAAGTGGAAAACTTTTGACTGCCATTCACCTGGTAGTGGCCAGAAGCGTTTCTTGTGCGTGCGGTTCAAATCGCAGCTCACAACGTCCGGATATTTAAATCCACGTATCCTCTGGGTAGCAACCAAACACCCGTTTGGGAGCGAGCTAAAGTGAGAAGGCGTAAAACTTCGCGTGCGCTGGGTTTGGGTCCCGCCACGTTAAAACCCCGCCCAATGAAAAGAAGCAAACAGCCTCGGATGAGACCCCCTTTTTCTGATGACGACCACGGCAAACGTATAAAGGACTATGATTTAAGGGTATGCACCTGGAATATCCGGACCCTTAATGGGGAAGGTGCCTCTGCCCGGCTGGTTGATGTCCTCGGGAAGACAAAGGCTGACATCACCACCATCCAAGAACTGCGATGGACGGGGCAAGGTAAAGTAAGCGCGAAGCTTTGCGACGTCTACTACAGTTGCCACGTAAAGGAGCGCAAATTCGGTGTTGGATTCGTGGTAGGAGAGAGACTCCGTCGCCGAGTACTGGCGTTCACCCCGGTGGACGAACGTCTAGCCACAATCCGCATCAAAGCTAGATTCTTCAACATCTCGCTCATCTGCGCCCATGCCCCGACGGAAGAGAAGGATGAGGCGTCCAAGGATCTCTTTTATGAGCGCTTGGACCGTACATATGAGCGCTGCCCCGACACGATGTCAAAATCGTGCTTGGAGATTTTATTGCCAAGGTGGGCAAGGAAGGGATCTTTGGCGCCACTGTCGGAAAATTCAGCCTCCACGACGAAACGTCCGATAACGGACTGAGGCTGATCGACTTCGCCGGGGCCCGAAATATGGTAATATGTAGTACTAGGTTCCAGCATAAGAACATCCACCAAGCTACATGGCTGTCTCCAGATCGAAAAACGAGAAACCAAATCGATCATGTTGTGATAGACGGAAGGCATGCTTCAAGCGTTTTGGACGTACGTACACTCCGAGGGCCAAACATCGACTCGGACCACTATCTTGTTGTAGCCAAGATACGCACCCGCCTCTGTGCAGCAAAAAATGTGCGCCCAACAATGCAAGGAAAGCTTAACGTCGAAAAGCTGCAATCACAACAGACGGCCAATTTATTCGCCACTCGACTCACACACCTGCTCTCTGAGAGCACTCTTCAACAATCCGACGTACGCGAGCAGTGGAACCACATTTCCCGATCATTAAGTACCGCCGCCGAAGAAGTAGTTGGATTTCAGCGAGCCCGAAAGAACAACTGGTACGATGAGGAATGTCAAGAAGCCGCAGAGAAAAAAGATGCCGCCTACAGGGCCACGCTGCGATCGGGCGCAACGCGAGCCATGTGGGACCGTTATAGGGAACTGAAGAAGGAAGCGAGACGTATTTGCCGCAATAAGAAGAGAGAGGCCGAAATACGTGAGTGCGAAGAGCTTGAGATGCTGGCCGACAGGAAGAACGCCCGAAAATTCTACCAGAGGGTTAGGCGACTTACGGAAGGTTTCAAGACCGGGGCGAACTCCTGTAAGAACAACAATGGCGACCTAGTGACCGATGTCCAGAATATACTTAAATTGTGGAGGGAACACTTTTATAACCTACTGAATGGTAGCAGCGCTGAAAGTAGTGAGGAAGACGAACCCGAGTCCCCAGTCGATGATGATGGAGTAGCTGTCCCACCGCCTGACTATGACGAGGTACGAATAGCGATTACGCGGCTGAAAAACAACAAAGCTGCTGGAGCTGACGGCCTGCCAGCCGAGCTATTCAAGTACGGCGGCGAGGAGCTGATGAGGTGCATGCATCAGCTCGTATGCAGAATATGGTCAGATGAACGCATGCCCGACGACTGGAATTTAAGTGTGCTCTGCCCAATCCACAAGAAAGGCGACCCCGCCATACGCGCCAACTACCGCGGAATTAGCCTTCTAAGCATAGGTTACAAGGTCTTATCGAGCGTATTGTGCGAAAGACTGAAGCCCACCGTCAACGAGCTGATTGGACCTTATCAGTGTGGCTTTAGGCCTGGAAAATCCACCATAGATCAGGTATTCACAATACGCCAAATCTTGGAAAAGACCCGCGAGAATAGGATCGACACACACCATCTATTTGTCGATTTCAAAGCCGCTTTCGACAGCACGAAGAGAAGTTGCCTTTATGCCGCGATGTCTGAATTTGGTATCCCCGCGAAACTAATACGGCTGTGTAAAATGACGTTGAGCAATACCACCAGCTCCGTCAGAATAGGGAAGGACCTCTCCGAGCCGTTTGATACCAAACGAGGTTTCAGACAAGGGGACTCCCTTTCGTGTGATTTCTTTAATCTTATGTTGGAGAAGATAATAAGAGCCGCAGAACTGAACCGCTCAGGCACAATACTTTATAAGAGCGTACAATTGCTGGCGTATGCCGACGACATCGATATTATCGGTAAAAACAAGGGCTACGTCTGTTCTGCCTTCTCGGGATTGGATAGAGAAGCAAAGCGAATGGGTCTGGTGGTGAACGAGGACAAAACGAAGTATCTCCTGTCAGCACACAAACAGTCAGAGCATACGCGTCTTGGCACCCACGTCACTGTTGACAGTTACAAGTTTGAAAAAGTAGACGACTTCGTTTATTTGGGAACCAGCATTAACACCAATAATAATGTCAGCCTTGAAATCCAACGGAGAATCACTCTTGCCAACAAGTGCTACTTTGGGCTGAGTAGGCAATTGAGAAGTAAAGTCCTCTCTCGTCGTACAAAGATCACACTCTATAAGTCACTCATCATGCCTGTGCTGGTGTATGGCGCGGAAGCATGGACAATGAAAGCATCTGATGAGGCGGCTCTTGGAGTTTTCGAGAGAAAGATTCTGCGAAAGATTTACGGACCTTTACGCGTTGGTGATGGCGAATATCGCAGACGATTTAACGATGAGCTGTATGAGCTTTACAACGATATAGACATAGTGCAGCGAATTAAAATTCAGCGGCTCCGCTGGCTTGGCCATGTCGTTCGGATGGACAGAAACGCTCCTGCTCTGAAAATATTCAACGCGGGCCGCGATGCTGGTAACAGAGGAAGAGGAAGGCCTCCTCTGCGTTGGAAAGACCAGGTGGAGAAGGACTTGGCTTCACTTGGCATTTTCAATTGGCGTCAGTTAGCACAGAAGAAAAATGACTGGCGTGCTGTTTTGGACTCGGCCAAAATCGCTTAGGCGGTTACAGCGCCAAATAAGAAGAAGAAGAAGAAATAGCACAATCTGACTATACACACTCACTACAGTGCAATTCAGCAGCAGTTTTTCCCTTTAACTTCATAAAATGCATTTGTTTGAAGTCGAAATCTATTGGCGCAATTCAGCAGCGGATCCATTCCTGCCTTTTCATAAAATGCAAAAAAATATGTTTTCTCTAAGTTCAAACCTACAAAAGGCAGCCTCTTAAAATAAAAAAGCTAGATCTAAATACGCGCAAAGGTTTTTGTCATAAAACCAAAATGTTAACAAATTTGCTGGACGTACTTTTTACATGATTCCGCAGGTGAGTTGTGTAAATTTCTCATGCGTTAAGGTACCACCAAAACCTTCCTAAAATCAAACCAACTATATTCAGCATAATTCAGCAACTTTTAATTAATTTCTTAAGCGGTGAAGAGTATAAAATGCTTTCATATCTTGCAGTTCAATCACTTGTTATCTCAACAAAAACTTTCCACCACTATTCAGCCCTTTCTGCCGCCATTCAGCAAAACCCATTTGCCAACTAACAGCCTTGCTGCCAAAAATACGCAATCAGACATACAAATAAACCATTTAAAATGCATAACATTCCCCACAAAAAAAAAGTACCAACACCAATAAACAATCAGATTTATAGCTTACCCCAAACGCTGCTGTTCATGCTCTTCCTCATCCTCCATTATGTCGACAGTTGCATTCGAACCAACCATCGACGCTGGGCCCGACATCAAAGCACCCAATTGTGTGGTAACTGCTGTTGTTGTTGGCGGATTACCGCTACACGTCGCCGCCGCTATTGATGTTGTTGCTGTTGCTGGTGCTGTTGCTGTCAATCCAGCTGTCAGCATCGCAATGGAAGTTGCATTTGTTGCATTCAATGTTGAAGTGGTTGGTGTTGTTGTAGCCGATTGTGTTGCTGTTGTGGCAGTATTTGTTGAATTATTTCCACCATTTATGCCACAACTAACGCCACCACTGCCATCGTTTTGTTGTAATAATAAATCATGTCTACAGGTTATATCTCGTTCGCCGGCTACTAATGTGCTGATCTCCGGTGGCAGAGGTTTTGTGAGGAATTTCGCTCGACGAATACCTAGAAATTAAATTGAAATGGAGAATTAAAATGTTAAGCGAGGATGTAGTGTTTGGAAGTGATGTGTAATATACGAATTGTTTTTGGGTCAAAATTTAGCAGGTAGATCGTTTAATAAATGATTTTTTACACGTGACCAAAATGCATTTCTTGAATATTTAGTGTTTATTATATTCAGCACTCTCAATTAAGCAGCTGAAATTTTGTGTAAACTCCGCCATTTTTGTGATAAGACTTTTAAAAATATTCTTTGATTGTTATAAAGTATTAGTTTTGTATCTATTGTCAAAACATATCACACTAAAATTAAATTCAGCACAATTTTTGCGCCATCCATGAATTTATTTGTATATATTTCAGCTGGAAAATTACACTGCTATACATGCAGCATAACAACATTTAAAGATTTTTGACTCAGCAAACTGTTTTTTTCAATTCAGCAAGTAACTAGTATGGCTATTCTATTGCATTGTATTTGTAGCAGTAAAAGCTGATTTCAATTCAGCATACCTTAACTAAATTCAGCACAAAATATTGTTTTGGCTGAAAACATTTTTGATAAAAAATATTAAAAAACGCTGCCTTTCAGATTTCGTTTATATTCAGCGCCATCTGATCATATTCAGCAAAGCAATGTATTTCGCAATTGGAAAAATAAATTTCCCAGCGTTCCTCTTTTTAATCAATGCGAATTTGATCTTTATAAGCTAATATAAACGAAACCTAATTAAATTCGGCAATTGGTATTGCTTAGTTATTAGACAACAACTTTCTTGTCTTATGCTCGCATTTGTCATAGTTAAAAGCTGATTTATTTTATATTCAGCACGACTTAATGAATTCAGCAGAGCATTCATTTGAGCTTAGAAATCTTTTATAAAGTAAAAATTAAAAGTACTGTGCATTTAATTTCTCATGCGTATTCAGCATATTTTTAACTTACTTAGCACTTATATTTTATAATAAGTACGAGTAGTATGGCTAATCCATTGCCTTGTATTTATTATGGAAGAGCCGATTGAAATTCAGCGTAGCTTAACTGAATTCAACACCGCATATCTCTTTGGCTAAAAATATTTATAATACCATATATTAAAAATACTTTGCTTTTAACATTTCGTGCCTATTCAGCGCCATTTAATCATATTCAGCACATATTTTACTATAAAAATGAGAATAAATATTTTTCTCAGCTCATATAAGAGACACCCAATTCAATTCAACAATTCTCGAAAATTGTATTTCCGCCTTTGGAAATCTTTGTTTAAAGATAGAATGAGAAGGAATGATTTAGGAATACAAAAATAATTTATATCTATTAAACCTAATTTTTTTTGCCAAGCACGACTTCAAGTGAAAATGAAATTTAATACTCGAGTGCCTAATTTGCATTTGTGTATTTACACATAAGATAGACAACAACGCACACATTCAGGTGACCTTTGCACTTTTCCATTCAGCTGTTGACATCTTGGCGTCAAGTTACACACAAAACAAATTAAGAAGAAAAACAATAAAGCATTCTACTTCGTGGCACATTCATCGCCCGCCACGTACGTGTCACAAGGCATCATTGTCATCATCAATAAAAAAAATGTGTCATGCATGACACACGGCTTCATAACGGGAGTCTGTGTGCGTGTGTGTATTTACTGTCAGCATTTTTCTATTGCTCCTCCGTTCTGTTGGCCATAGTCAAAGTGCCCTACTCGTCATCGTTCTGACTTTTCACTTTTCTCGACTCATTTAAAATATTTTGTAAGTACTAAATGCCTCATGTGGGAGCTTAAGTTGAACCCTTGTTTAGTATCTGCCTTCATGGCAAGCTAGTCATGGACTAAATCGCACCTATTTACTTTTAAACTTTACAAATATTTTGTGTTCCTCTTTTTCTGCACCCCTATTCCACAACCAACCACTTGTCACAGCTGCCACAACTTAAGACCTAAATTAAATGAAGTGATTGATTACCGTATTTTAACAGTAATGCTTGTTGTACAGCGCTTTACAACCAGTTAAAGGCTCCATGTTTATGTATGCTCGACTATCAAGCCGTCTCGTATTTCACCTGGCTGCGTCTGTTGACGTTGCTGCGTTTGTGTTGGTTAAGTTTTATTTGAGTTTAGCAAATTGCTCAAGTTGTGTGTTAAAGGGCGCCAATTTACGCTGTCACAATGACGAAGATTGTTAATTAATTCGATGTGCATCGAGCGCTTGAGGTATCCGTACGTTAAAGATTTTTAAAAGAATTTACGCAGCTGAATTTGGCTATACATTGCGGGTGTGGGAGCTAGCGATGGGCATTGTTTGAACTCAATATATTGATTCAATTCAGCGCACTTTTAAGCAATTCAGCTGATTCAATAAGGAGCGCTTTAAATGACAAACACTTTTTTTTTGTAAAATTACTGCCGTTGGAATTTGTATTTCTCGCAAGCTTATTTCAGCACATTTTAAGGTAATTAAGCTGACATTCATTATTGCTCAGCAGTACTTAAAATTGTAGGTGTAGAGTAAGACGCATTTTATATCCCAAAGTTCTGGCTTATTCAGCGTATTTTATAAAAACTTACTTGGCGAATACTACAAGGATTTAGATTAAAAGTGCGCACTCTGTTTTAAAACGGTTCAGCTTTTTAAAAATTTCAGCTATTGTCTTTATTAAATAAGCTGAATTGAGTGCTGAAAATCTGAATAACTTATTTTGAAACAAAAATTTTATAAAACTAATTAGATTTTTACTAATGTTATTTTATATATATTTAAAGCTATTTTTTAGCTGAATTTGAATTAACTTGCTATTGGTCAGCGTAATTCAGCTGCATAATATGAACTTTAGTTAGTAGTCAAATGCCACTTATTCCAATATCTGAAAATGCAATATTAAACATCAATTCAGCTCTTCTAAGCCTCATTCAGCGTATACGAGCTTCACTTTTTGAACGGTAAAAACCAGCTTGATGCTTATTCTAAAACCAAAAATACTGCATTAGCTCAATTCAGCTACATTTGGCACAAATTAAAGTACATAATATTTTTTTAAATATTATGTCAAGATTTATATTAGCTATAGCACTCCGCCATCCCTAAGCAACCTGATTAGGATCTCTTGGTAAATTTAGCTTTATTCAGCATAGGTAATCTTCACTGTGAACAGTTGTATATCTCCATTAAAACTTAATTGCATACTTTTAATGCAATTCAGCTGTACTTATGTTCTGAAGCATAGTTCTAAATTGAATGTTGCTTATACCGATACTTGCTAATATAACATCTCAGCTGTTCGCAGTCTCATTCAGCGCGAATCCGCTGCACTTTGTGTGCGAAAGAAAACAACTTGGTGATTATTATATTACCAAACATACTGCATTAGCTCATTTGGTTCAATTCAGCTACATTAAGCACAAATTTAAGTACATATTTTTTAATATTATCTCGAGCCTTTTATGATTTATAGCACTGCGTCATTCAGCTTAATTCAGCACAGTTCAGTTTTATTCTGCACAGTTCTAGGTAGGTATGTTGTCGCGGTCGTCTATAAGACACACTTAGGCTCAAGGCCCATTGTGATGCCGCATGTTGGGTCAGCAACTCCCAATCCCTCCTAAAACCACACACAGTTCTACGTCTGCATTAAACTTAACTTTCTTTATTTCAAAGCAATTCAGCTGCCTATTGTGAAGCATAAATCCAAATTATATTATAATATTTCCTAATGTAACATGTAAGCTCAATTCAGCTCTCCTCAGCAGAATTCAGCTGCATGTTATGAATTAGGAAAAGAAATTTCAAGTTGATTCTTTTACAAAAATTATAGTATTAGCTCAGTGAGCTCCATTCAGCAATATTTAGGGAAATTTTAACTATATAATATGCTGTGTGCACATATTATCTCTAGGTTTATAGAGTTCTACCAGGTTGTCCGCAAAACATAAAACTGGTACTGGTTTTTCAGCTCATTTCAGCTATTTAGCTTCAGTTCAGCGCTTTCCTGCTGTGTAAGTTTTTGTCTAAAGCATTTCCCTCCAAATACTCAGCAAATTTTCAACTCTAGTTTCCTAGAAAACTCCGCTGACACAATATTCGCTTCGTACGATGCGGTTGCAATCATTTATCTTTGAAGCTTTCCACACTGCACATGCCAAAATCTCCAACAAATCAATTTCTCTACATTGCAACATCGCATGCCATGCAAGCCATTTGCAGTCTAAAGCGACAAGCAAACGACGCACAGTGTTTCGACTATATGGAGGCAGGTAGAAAAAAGTCATGGTGACAGTTGATAAAAAAAAACCGGTTTGACTTCGAGAGGGAATAGTAAAAGTCATAAGTACCAAATTTTACATTATTTACTCACCCCCCTTCTTCACGAACGATACCGACTAATCAGTTTAGTTGCATTTGGCGCTGAACCCATTACAGAAAGTGTTTCTTTTCCAATTGTAATTAATTATCTAAATGTCGTGGAATATTCAGGTGAAGGTATTTATCATTTATTTGATATTTTCCTATTTTCTTACCAAAAAATTTACTTTGAAATGTAGATGCTAAAGATTATTAGTAAAAAAAAAGTATGAGGACCGGTACTTGAAATTAGACTAATATTTTAGAGAATTGTATGTAGTTTTCGATTATATATAATTTGATCTTTGCGCGCGACTTTGCAAATATATGTAATTTTTGATTTTCTTAATTTTTGATTTTCAGCTTCTTTTTGCATAATTTGGCGAAAAGAATTTTTCAAAGAATGAAAAAATCCCACCAGATATTGGGAAAAAAGCGAGTATTGACACCTAAGTCATTTTATTGTATAACCTTTGTTTTTTGAGAGTGGAAAGCAGAAAACAAAAATTACCCAAAATTCCATCACTGGGTCCACATTTTTTGTGAGTTTTGAACGTTATAGTAATCCACTCTTCCCCATATTTTATATTTAGGGTTTTCTAATAAAACAAAGACTACAAACTAAATTTCATCGAAATCGGACGAGATTTAATGTT